TCTGCGTGCCTCGTGCTGCACAGCGTGAATCTGACGGGGAGCGTGCTGACCATCGCGCGCACGCAGGCGGTGGCGGTGTTCCGCGACTCTGTTGGCGTGCTGGTTTTTGGCGGCGTAGCGCTGCATTCGCGCGGTGCGCTGTACGTGGACGGGCTGTCGGTGCAAACGGCGCTGGGGCTGTGCGTGTCGGTGGAGGGCGGTGTTGCGGCCAGTGGCGGCTCCGTGGTGGCGTTTGTTGACAGCGACTTCCTGCTGTGCAAGCACGCGGTGTCTGTGCGTGGGGCTGTGAGCGTGTCGGGCTCAGCTGTGGCGCTTGTGCGGAGCGAATTTGTGTCGACGGAGGACTACGCGGTGGCGTTTTATTCGACGGTGAGCCTGGCCGGCGGGTCGATGCTTCTGGCGAAGGGCAACGTGCACGACGGCGTCTCGAGGGAGATGCTCTACGCCGCTGGCGCCGTGACCGCTTCTGGGAGCACGCTGAGCTTTGTGCGCAACCGAGTGCTGCTGCCGCGGATGCTGTCGCTGAGTCTGTCGCTTGCGGCTGGGGCGCATTTGAGGGTGGCATGCAACGACGCTGGCGGACGTGTCCTGTCGACGGCGGAGGAGTACGCAGCGGCTGGTTTTGGCGACGCTGGGAGCATCGACGTTGCTGGGTGCGACGCCTGCGACAGGGACATTTACTGCTACGCGCCCGGGACGGCGTCTGCGAGCATGACGGACGGTGTGTGCGTGTGCGCGTGCGGCAGCGGCGGGTATGGCGAGGCGTGCGTGTCTGTGGGTGCTCCCACACTGCCGCCCGCTGCGGGCATTGCGCCGAGTGTGTTTCTCCGCGAGGGCGTGACGGTGCACTCTGTGTTCGTTGTGCCTGCCGGCGCGAGCGAGGTGACGCTGCGCCACGTTGTGCTGGACGGCGTGAGTCCGGTGCTCTACGTGCCGTGGATGGCACGAGACGGCGTGCGGATCGTTGTGCAGAACGTGTCGCTGCTGAACGGCGCCGTGCTGTACGTGATGGGTGGTGGAGCGTTGCGCGGTGCGGCGGGGAGCGACGAGAGCGGGCCGGTGGAGCTGTCGGTGTGCGATTTGGAGGCGCTGAACGGTGCGCTTGTGCTGACCGGCACGTTCCCCGCGGGGTCCGCGCTGACGGTGACGGACTCCCTGCTGGTTGCCGCGAGGCCGACGCCGCTTGTGTATCTTCCCGGCTCGCGGTCCTCGCCGTACGCACCGGTGCTGGTGCTGTCGGGCCTGCGGCTCGTGCGGTCCGTGCTGGTTGTGTCCGGCGTTGCCCTCGTGACCGTGATGACTGGTGGGCGGACGGTGGTGGTGGACGGCGCCGTGCTGGAGCTCGTCGGCGGCGGTGTCGCGCTGGACGCGGCTGTGTTCGGTGGCGAATATGCGTTGTACGCGAGTGCGCGCGTGGTGGCATCGGAGGGCGCTGTGATGCGCGTGTCGGGGAGCCAGGTGTACGCCGCGCATGGGTTGGTGTTCGACAGCGGGGTGGAGGCCAACGCGTCCGCCGTCGTAATGAACGACAACACCGGTGTGCTGACCGATGGCGCGCTGCTGGTGCTGCGGGGGTCGGCGTCGTTTGCGTCCGGGTCGTGGCTGTCGGTGCGCGGCGACAGCATCAGCGGCAGGCTCCTTTCGCTGCCGTCGTACCCGCGCAGTGTGGAACTCGCGCAGAGCACGCTGACGCTCCACGGGAACGCCGGCAGTGGGTCCGTTGTGATGGACGGCACCGTT